TTACAAGACCTTTGTATGTGCATCGTCAGCTCAACAGACAAATGCATCTGCGCAGACACATTTTGCATCGGCGCAGTGGTTTTGTAGGACACAGGAATTTAGTGAAATTGGTATAATGTACCATTCTTCAACGCACTTTATAAACTTACATTTCTATAGGCACACACAAATGCCCAGCGATGTAAACACACGTGGATAAACACACACACCTCCCCCACAGACTGCACGGACACCCACAAGCATTTGGCTTTATCGCAGGCCAAAATTCAATCCCCAATTTCTGCGTCTCCTTTAGCCTTAGCACTTTGGCACCTTAAACCTGCTGGTCTGCGGGCAAGTTCAAACAGTCTCCCACGTCAAGTAACCAGTTCATTCCTCCGGTTTGCCAAGTTTCTTCCCAGGACGAGGGAGAAGGAAGCGCTCCGCAGGTCTTCCCTCTGCACTTTCTCAAATAAATCAAGCAGGGAGGGCGGGTGAATTGATAAATTATATATGTAGAATTTGGATTTTTTTTTTTTTCAAGAATAAACTGATCTTAAATCCTTGGTAATTTTTGTTGAAGCGCTAATTACACATCATCTTAATTAGCGGATCAGCCCCCCCCTTCCCAGCCCAGCATCGCTAATTGCCTAATTGAACAGATCCGGGGCAGGGCGGGGGAGGGCGAAGCAGCCGCGGCTGCCGGGACCCAGCGCCAGCGGCCACCGCACCTGCGCCGGCCCCGCGCAGCGCTGCCCCCCCGGCCTCGCTCCGAGCCCCGCGTATCCCCCGCGCAGCGCTGCGCGGCCCCACCGTTGCCCGCCGGGGAGCCGGTTTGGCGAGCGCGGAGAGAGGCCCGGCCATCGAAGAAACGGCCCGGGGCGGGTGGGGGTGGCCACCGAGAGCCCCGCACGGCCGGCCACCCTCCCGCGGAGGCTTTTCGCGGTTTGTGCGCCCTTTCACAAGAAAGCGGCTGGCTGGGAGCCCCTTTCCAGTTCGGGCCCCGGGGGTCGGGGTAGAAACAGGTCAGGGGAGGCGGAAGGCGTGGAGATGTAAAAATAAAATAATAATAATAATGATAATAATAAACCTAAACGCTCGAAACCGCCATAAATTTTCGTCCTCCGCGTGTCCCAGTGTTGGAAGCGCCTGTTCAGTCACCGGCGCGGCGAGGAGCGGTACTCGCACTCCAGCCTCCGCGTTCGCTCCCCTCCCGCTCCCTTTCCAACCCCTCCATCTCCTCAGCCCCAGGAAAAGCCCCGCGGGACGTGGGCAGCCTGTCCCCTCCCGAGGCGAGGTCTCAGCCCGGGGACCGCGCTCGGCCGCGGCGGGCAGCGCTGCACCCGCGGCCGTTCTCCTGCCAACCCCGGGAGGATGCAACAGCTCTGAAAACTCAGGCTTGAAACTTTGACTTTGTCAGATTCTCAGTAGGGAAAAGCAAACGGGACTGTAGAACGACTGGCCACCGTTTTCCAGCTCGAACATTTATTTAGAGCCCGCGAGCCAACAAATGCCCATCCGTGTGTGCTTTGGAATTATGTTTGTGCTCTGTAAACGTAATTCGGGGATTTCGAAAGGAAACGAATTCGCTTTGAAACGGGCAGCGCCAAACTCGTTTCTCTGCCGCCTCTCCACCTTCTCACGAGCAGGAGAGGGACCAGTAGCTGCTGTAGAAGCTTCTCCCTCCTCATCGAGATTTTCTTTCCTCTCTAAGGGACGAGGCCCCTTGCCCGCGGGGCGGGGGCACAGCCGGGCCTTCTCCTACATGCCCGCTCCAGCAGACCCCCCCTCTTCGGGGCTGAGGGGTGGCCGGGACCCCTCGAAACGCAGGGCCCGGGATGCGCTCCCCGGCAGCGCCGGCACCCCGGGCTGACGCGCCTCCTCGTCCCCCTGAATCAGCTTCACCTTTGGATTTACAACCACCTCATCCGAAAGGCTCCCACCCCCGGAGGCAGCGGGGAAACGAGGGGAAACAATCCCTGTCTGGGGTTCGGCTCCGCCGCCCCCCGTACCTGCCCTGCTCCTGCCCAGCCGGCGGGGATCCCGCTCTGCCCCCCGCCCGCCTGCAGCCCCTTCCCAAGGCAGGTAATCGAGCCGGATTCCCAGGGGAGCCCCACATCTGCTTAAAATATTGTCCAATGGCATGAAATTCTACAACACACGGTGGGTTTAATACACTGCACGCTGCTGGCTCGCATACCTGCTCGGCCGGCCGGGTGCGTATCGCTTTACCCCGGGATGCGCAGCCAGGCGGGAATCACCGCGGGTCCCCGCCGGGGCGGCCGGAGCGGTGCTCGGGCAGGGGCGGCCGGGCTCCCCGGCAGCAACTGAAGCTCTCACTACCTTGCCGATGTAAATACAGCAAGATCCGTACACTCGTGTCCGTGTTTAATCTGTTTTGCAAATAAATACTCCTGGGATATTGAAACCTTAGCTTTAGACTACTGTTTTGAACTGTGATCCCTAAAAAATCCTCAGCTGAAACCCCATAAACCGTTGGGCCTTGTATTGTATTAAACACCTGATTTTAATCAGAGCTCAGCCTTCCAAATAGACACTCCAGTCCGCTCACTCAACGACCGGAGCTTTCTGAGCCGCAGCTCCTGCTGCTGAAGGGAAGTAGGCGCTTCCAGGCACAGAAGTCTCATCTCCCTAGCACTCAGGATCTCCAGGCACTGAAAAACTCGCAGTCCTTCGGCTGCGGGAGCTTACTTACCGCTGCCAGGCCAGGAGAGCTCCCGGGGGGAGGCCGGGGCAGCCGGCGCCGCTCGCACCCGCGCTCAAACGCGGGCGGACCCTGCGCTGGGCACACGGCTGCAAAACCCGATGTCTTTTGCAGGAGGAGAAACAAAGAGAAGGAGGGTGGTGGTGGTGGGGGGGGGATAAAAGGAGGAGGGAAAAAAAAAAAAAAAAAAAAAAAAAAAGGGGGGGAAGAGAAAAAACAAATGAAAAAGAGGAAAAAAAAAAGAGAGAGAAATATTCCACTCTATTCCACCTCGCTTTCACAGCTAAGAGAGCTCTGAAAATGACTCTTCTCCTTAACAACCTAAAACTATAAGTAATCACTTTTCTTCCTTAAAAAAAAAAAAAAAAAGTTATTATTTGAACGGGGGCGTTTAAAGCGTGTGTTTATTGGGAAAAAAAATCCCAGTATTAATCGAAAGACAACTTCCTGAATAGCTTCGCAGCGATGGGGTGACAATGTTGACCCCGCGAACTGCGAAACATCCCCCGCTCCGCGCCGGGAAGGTGCCGGCGTGTCCGGGCACTCCGCGGGGCGCGCTGTGAAACGCAGCCGCGGAAAGGGAAATGGTGGGGCCGCGGGGCTGCCTGCAGGTCGTTTTGGAAAGAAAAGCGCGGAGCGGCGGCGGGTGCTCGGGCACCGCGGGACTTGCCGCGGCCGCCGGCAAGCGCGGTAACAAAGCGGGTTTGGGGGAAGGAAGGGCGGGCTGAGGGGCTCTGGAGGGCAGGTTTGGGGGGGTCCTGTCCCCCCCTCCCCCCCCACCCCGGGCGGGGGGAGCTGCGGCTTGTACCGGCCAGGCGGGACAGACCCGCAGCGCGAACCGCCCGCTGACCTTGAAGAGTTGAAAAGGCTCCCGAATAACGAACTTGAATTACAAAATAAACCTTTGAGCCCACGTGTGAGCGCGCTGCCTACGCTCCCGCGGCCCCTGCCCCTGCCCCTTCGCCAGCCGCCGTTGGAAACTACGCCCAGGATTTAACCCAAAACCGGGTTTACCGGGGCTGGGGGAGCCGGCTGATCCCCCACACCCACCCCCCCCGTGGGGGGCTCCCCCCGCGCTGCCGCGACCCGCGGGGGGGACACCGACGTGGGGGGGTGTCGGGGAGCCCCGCACCGCCTCAGCCCCCCGCTCCCGGCGCCAACACCCGCGGTTTAACCGAGCCGGGCGCCGCTCTTCGCCCAAATCTTCCGCCGACCGCTACAAGTCAGAGTTTCTAGCAGGGCGCAGACTACGCTGGAACTTCGGCAGCCTCCCGATATTTCGCACCGAGCCAGAGCGAAACAGAAACTAAAGAATAATAATGATAATAATACAGTAGAGAAGTACAGCCCGGCTGCCCACGGTGCTCCGCTGCACCGAGCCTAACGCTTAATCGGCGAGGGAAGAGGCTGAGCGTTTACAGCTGGACTCTGCGGGAGCGGGGACAAACCAGCCCTGCTCTTCGCTACAAAAGCCCCGCTCTCCTCCTCCGAAAATCCAGTCTAGAAACGATTCGAAAAGAAGAAGGGGAAAAGGGTCCGGTGGAAGACGGAGGAAAAAGCTGCGCGAGACTTACGAGCTGCAATTCCACCCCCAAGTAAATTTTTAAAAATTAAAAATTAAAGACACTCCCCCACGCTCCCCTCCCCCAGACCTTCTTAACCCCCAGCTGGGACACCCGAGCTGCGTTCAGAATCTTCCCTCTGGACCTGCGAATCCAAAGCCCCTCACTGAGAGCGGATCCATTTTTGCTACAAATTTTCTTCCTTCCCTCTCCTCGATAATTGTTCCCGAGGCTAGAAGGGTTTCTTTCCACCCCCCTCCCCGGCTGCCTCTGCCTGTCTTCCCCCCCCCCCCCCCCCCCCCCCCCCCGCCAGCGTTAAGTCTCTCCGGCTCTCTCAGGCAGATGCCAAACGCAGACCTCTAGCGCCCACTATTTCAAAAGCCAGGAATATTATTTCACAAGACTTGGAACGACTCAATAAAAAAAAAAAAAAAAAAAAAAAAAAAAAGTTGCTATCCCCTTTCGTCAACTTCCAGCTAACTTTCGCTTTTCGCCCCCGGCCCCGCGCAGCTCGCCGCTCGCCCGCGGCGCCCCGCTATAGCGCGCCCGGGCGCGGAGCAGCGCGGAGCGGCGCGGAGCAGCGCGGGACGGCCGCTCTCCGCGCGCACGGGGCGGGCGGCGCGGCTGGCCGCCGCCGCGGGGAAGGAGAGGGGCTGGAGCCCCGCGCAGCCCCCGGCCCGGCTCCGCGCCCGCCGGGGGGGTGGTACGCGGAAGAAGGGAGAGAAAGGACCTACTTTTGGGCAGTTTTCTCGCCCTCGCCTTGGATCTCATCGTGTCGGCTTGTGGATTCCTCTCCTCCTCCTTGAGCCCAGAAGCAGCTACACACTATCTTCATCTCCCAAGCATTGTCAGTTTGGACACCTTCGCACATGCGCACAGAGCATTCAATCTGACACCCTCACCAGGGCCAAAAAAACTTTCCAATGTATTCATCATCATCAGGGTGGTTTTTTTTTTTTTTTTTTTGTCCTATCCTCTTCTTCAGACCACTTATCTCTCCCCCCTCCTCTCTCCCAGCACCATCACAGCCTTCCCCTGATCTGCCCCTTTAAGAAAAATCAGCCCTCTCCGCTCCTAACCCTCCGCACACTGACCTTACACACTGGACAATATTTAAGGATCAAGGTGCCATCCTATACAGAGGTGATTATCGTTATATTATTATTATTATTATTACTACTACTACTACTACTAAATAGCAATGCTGTAGAGAGAGTTTGTTAACGGATGTCATCTTGCAATTGTACATATTTTAGACATGCTTTTATTTTTAATCTGAAAAATATTTATTTACAGTAACTTTTCAAGCAGTGTCTGTCTTTATTTTCCTCCTTTTTAACCCTTTTCCCTTCTTTGCCCCCTTCGGCTCGGGGAGGGACGGGGGTGGTGGGGGTATCGCATAACTTTTAAAATTACAGAATTTGCGCTTTTGTGCTCTGCCGTCATTTCTCGCGTTTCCACCGGAGACTTTCTCCGCTCCGCACCGGCGCTGGAAAGCCTTTCCTCTTTCTACCCCGGTGCAGTTGTCCGTGTTTGTGACCGTTTTAACCCAGAACGCGACCCCCCCCCCCCCCCCCCCGCCGCCGCTCTCCTTCCCAGGACGCTGGGGGGGGAGGGGGGGGGAACGGGGACCGGCGGGACGCCTTGCGCGGAGCGCGGATCGGCCGCCGCCGCTCCCGGGGCAGCTCCGCGCTTCGGCCCCCGCTGCTGCTGTCCGAGGGGGTGGGGGGCGGGGGAGGAGGGGGCTGGCGGGCCCCGGGGTCCTCGGCTCCCCCCGGGCAGCGCGGAACTTCCGCGGGAGCGGCGGGGACGGGCGGGGGGAGCCGCTTTTTTTCTGCGTTTCAGGTGGAAGGCAGCGCCCTTGGGAGCTCTCCCGAGGGACGGGGGAAAGCGGGAGACGCGCGGACAGCCGCGAAAAAGGGGAGAGGAAGGGGGGGGGAAAAATAAAATTAAAAAATAACCCCCAAACCCCTCATCCTGGAGCGATGCCGGCGAGTCCCGCGGGACCTGCCCGTCACCCCCGGGAGCGAAGGTAGAGAGAGCCCGGGCAGAGCCGCTTTGAAGAAAGGAGCGAAGTGTAAATAGCCCCATGATTGATGTGCTGTCTTTGACTGCGGAGAAAGCACTATTTTAATTCAAGTGGCCAGGTCAGATGGTCACGGAAGAAGGTTGAAAGGTAGGATTTAATGAGATTAATATGGAGAGAGAGAGAGAGAGAGAAAGCGCGCGCCTTCATAAACATTCAATAAAATAATCGGGTTATGGAGAGCGCTCCGATCCGCTCTCAGGGTGCTACCCCGTACCGGGGCTGGGCAGGCAGCAAACCCAGGAGCCCTCTCACTGAAGGGCATTTCAAAAAAAAAAAAAAAGAAAAAAAAAAAAAAGAAAAAAGAAAGAAAAAAAAAACATAGCAAAACTTCTGTGGGTGCGTCAGGTCTCTGCTGGAAGCCATTCTGCCAGCTGCACTTTTGCCCTGCAGGTGGAACTGGGGAGGGGGGAATATTCTTGCTAATTACCGGTTTTCCCCTCCTCAATAAACTCTTTAATTGCAAATGGGAGCAGGGCCCTTTCAGATGCTACCTAGGAGCCAGCGTTAAAGGGAAGGGTGGTGGAGCGGGAGTCCAAATAAAATAAATGCGTTTGAAGGGAACTCGTAGCCACGTGTCGCCTAAAATGTTGAAATGGTGCCTGTGAATTCCTTCCTCGAGGACGCGTTAGTGCACAGGTAGCCGTTTCACGGCATGGCGGGCACCCCGAGGTTGAGAAAACAAGCTCTCCTGAGCCTCACCGCCGAAACAGGAGCTCTAATGTTTCCAATTAATTGAAATATTTATTCCAACGATTTCGGGCGCTAGCCGTCTCCCGCATCCCCCCACTGAGCTGCTCGCGGGACAGACAGATTTCGGTTTGAAAATTCTCATCTCCCGGTTATTCCAGCGGTGCTCGGGCTGTGCCCAGCCCCCGAGGATGCCCCGGGGGCCGCGGCCCCCGGCCCCAGCTCCCCGAGCCGGGAAAAACAAAGGGCCCGGAGGGCCCGGGGGAGCGGCCGCGGGCTGGGGCGGCGGGGACGGCTGCCCCGACCCTCCTCCGGCACCAGCCTGGCTTTTGTTTCCCTGCCAAAACCTCCTGCATCCCCAGCATTCAGATTCCCCCCCTCCTCGGCAAGAGTTCCTCCGGTAAATCAGCGCGCACTAAGCGGACCCGCTCGAAGATATTTTGGGAGACGCAAAACGCTTTCGGAGGTGGACGGGGCCGGGGGGGTTTTCCTCTGGGCTTTAGCTCATGCCTTTGCAAACGAAGCCACAGAGAAGCGATCGAAAAGTCGCCGTACTAGCCCGGCCGACCGAGGGTTGGGGTTGCCCTCGGTTTGTCTCCGCAATCAGTTTTATTTCCTTGCGTTTCTCCCTCGCTCTGGCCGCGCTAATGCCGGGCCAGCGGGAAAGGCTCGGCGGGCTGGCGGCGTGGGGAAGGAAAAAGAAAAAAAGAAAAAAAAAAAGGGGGGGGTGGGAAGAAAAATAAAAGGAACGAATTTTTAGCTGAAGGTGTCGGGGTGTACTGGCAGCCGGCTGCGAGAGGAGCCGCTGCCGCCCCCGCCACGGGCAGGGTCCCCCCCAGCCCCGGGCGGGAGGTTGCGGTTCAGCCTCCCCGGGATCGGGCCCCGCTCCACCAGCTCGTTTTAAAGCCAAAAATGCTCCGGGGCCGGCGCGAGGGGAAGCGAGGACAGAGCCGGGCAGGCTCCGGGCACGGCCAGTCCTCCCGGGGAGCGGCCGCCCGGCCCCACGCTCCTGCCCCTCCACGGGCGCGTCCGTGGCTGGCGGGGACACACACACATACCCCCCCCACCGGGAAGGAGCAAGGCTCCGGCACAGCAAGGTGGGCGGCCCGGGGCCAGGAGGCCCCCGCAGCCCTCCCCGCTGGGCGAGCATCCCGCGGCCGCCACCCACTGTCACAACTCGCACCTGCCCAAGTGCGTGTCGCTTCCACGGAGAGTGGCAAATTCACCGGCGTGGAGGAAGGGAGAGGGGACAGGAAGGGTCTCGGCTCCCCCCCGGGTCAGCCCAGGACGTGGTGGAGAGAGCCCTGCCCGGCCGCGCTGCCCACGCAGCCGGCCCCGCACGCCTGCAGACACGAGTGGTCTGCTGCTTCGCGCGAGTTTGCGAGGAGCTCTCCCCAAAGGCGAGCCCGGGGCACCCCTGGAGACGGCTGAAGGGGGGAGGAAAAAAAAAATAAAAAAAAATAAGAAGACTCCCCCGGCGGTGGCCCGCATTTCCACCGACCTTCAATAATTGTCTCCTCCAAGGAGAGGGGCCGCCTTTCCGCTTCCCACGACACGCGTGTGCGGGGAGAGGGACCCGCCGGGCTCGCAGGGGCGGGTGGCCAGGTCTGGGGGTACAGGCAAAGCGGCGGTAGTGAAATGTGCCTGTTAAGAGTTTATATCATCCGCCCTCGCTCCTGTTTGCACCTTCATCTCTGCTTCCTCGCCCAGCTCATATACATTTCAACACAGGCTCCGCAGCGTGCCACGAGCATTTCAGCGGGGATTCACGGCGGCTCTTGGGGGGGCGCGGGAGCGGCTGTAATTTACGGGTGGGTTGCCTGGCATTTTCCCCACAAAGCCCCCGTCTTCCCAGGTATTTTATGAAGCCGGCTTTGAAAACACGCTCCAGGTGAAACTTTGCCTGCGAGCCTCCCTGATGGGTTTTGTTCCAAAGCGGAGGCGACGCGGCTGTGTCCCCCCTGCCCGGGCTCCCGCGGAAAGGCGTCCTGCGAGTCGTTGTGCACGAGTGTTTTTAAGCAGTAAAGAAGATTAGAATAGTTGGGATAGTCCGGCTTGTCCGGGAGCTGCCGCACATACATAGTAAACCCCTCTCCCTTCCCAAGGATTTTCGCATAAATTACTTATTGTTTCTGCGCAACGTTGCGGGGAGATTAGCCCAAGAATTAATATTTTAAACTACGTAAGATACGACGAGGCTGCTCTCCGTTGGGGTCAGCGAGCCCCGGACAGATTATGTGGCAAGAATGTCACACGCTTCCCTAGAGCTTTTTCCTTCCTAATCTGCCATTAAGAAGCGGAGGAAGCACACGCGCAACCGCGGCACCGTCACGGGGCTCTGCCCGCAGCCCGCGCAACCACCGCGCAGCTTCGCCCTCCATCCCCGCAGGGCCCAGGGAATTCCAGCATCTTTCGGCTGCGGTTCGGAGCCCCTTTTCCCCACAGAATGTGGACGCGGGGGGGGCAGTTAAGGACACCCTGGCAGCCCGGGCCACCGGCCGGGGCTTTGCGGGGTCACCGGGGCCGGTTGCGCCCCCGGCGCGGAGCCTGCGCGCCTCCACCGCGCCCGGGGGTGGCGGGGGGACACACGGACACACGTTTGGTTGTTTCCACAGCAGCAGCTCCGCCGCCTTCCTCAGCGAGCGCGACGGGGGGGGGGGGGGGGGAACAAAAACAAACAAAATTAATCAAAATTAAAAAATTAAATAAATCAAAATTTAAAATCTCAAAGGCCGGCTGCAGCCTCCCCGCGGTTGCCAGCCCAGGCAGAGCCGCGCTCGCCCCCGGCCTCGGGCACAGGGCTCCGAGGCTCTTCACACGCGGGTCAACAGTGATTCGGGAGAGGGCCGGGGATGTCTGTCATCTACCCCACGGACCCGCGTAGCTCCTTTCCTGAAGAAACCTACTTGCACACTCGTTGGTCTAAATTTTTTTTTTTTTTTTTTAACCCGAAAATCATTAAGAAGTTCCAGAAGAAACCACTCCGAGAAAGACAGAAATCTCTGCGTTTTGTACAGGGGGGAAAAAAAAAAAAAAAAAAAAAAAAAAAAAAAGGTCACTCTTACTGGTCCTCTTAGCAATGAACTACATGGGGGGCCGGGGGGAAGGTTGATATCACTGCAAAACCCGTGGGTGCACGTTACTGTCCTCCAGCTCACTTCCCTGATACTCAAGCTGTGCTGAAATCGGTCTTTGCATCCAAATGCGCTTACCAGACTTTTTTTATTATTATTATTTATTTCCCCCCTTTTTTCTAGAAGAAAACACTAGCTCCTCTGGCCATGAAAAAATACCGTGTAAATTGTCATTTAAGATTTTTCAAAAACCATATTTAGCTATAAGAATTCCTGCGAATTCGTTACACTCCACTATGCAAGGCTACGCCTTGCTGGTCCAGGGTAAGGTAAA